AAAAAAAAAAAAGAAAACTTTAAAAAAATAAAAAAAATAAAATAAAATCCAGAGAAAGTTTGTAAGCTGCCAATATTAATGTTAAAACCAAGGCTTTCATTTATTCTACTGCAAAGATGAATATCTTTAGTGCATTCTTAATTACCAAATATTCCAAAATGAAAGATTAAGTTGGTTTCAATGTTAAAACAGATTCTTGTAAGTTATGCTCCTAAATTGAGAATTTATCTTTGGCACTCCAATAACCACAATCAGTCAATGGTATCAACTCTCCAACCCAAAGGAACCTCTAAATGCATCAAAGGCTATTTATCTCAACATGCATCAATGCTACATTTTATAAAAAATTTACACATATCTAAAATCTAGATACTCAAAATGATTGTTCCTACAAACGCCATAATTCTTTTCTGTTATATATACAAAATGTAACAATTCCTATTATTCTGTATGGTACCATATATTAAATCATAAAAACCTCATGCAGTGTGCCTGAGTTACAGTTGCTTGGGGGAACATTACTTTCATGGCTTTTATGCACATAACTTCTCAACTGTAAAGTTATATCATTACCATTTTTGGTCTTATTTTTCCTTTACAATAAATATGAACATAATCAGATATTTTAAAACACTAAGTCTTCTCCAAAGCTAAAGCTCTTTATCAACCTTTACACACCTGCATAAGTAGTCCTGGCTCTGTGACTCTCAGAAATTCTCTATTTCTTTTGAAATGCAAAGAGCAGCATGGGGTGTGACATTTTAAAATGTAACTACAGGAGAATAACCCAAGTTAAAAACAAAATTTTAAAGGCACATTACAGTTGAAACTAGTATCTTAAAATGCTCATAAAATTAATCATGAATAAATATCTTGAACTGTACTAACCTAGTAATAATCTAGTCTAGATGGTGAACTGAAAAGAATATTAGAAACTTAGAGCTATCTTTTAGTTCTAATCCTTACACAAAAGCGAGGAAGGATAAATGTCCATAGTCATAATGCCATACTATTGCTACAAAGGTACAATGGCAAAAAGCATTTTTTATGTGCTATAATATGAAAGTTAGTGGGTTCAAAAATAAACAAGAACTTGAATAAGGTAAACCTGACTCTGCAGCGCTTCAGAAAGTCCATATACTTTATGTTAAAAAACTCAAAATTCATACTATAAAATGCCAATTTGGACATTCAAGATCTGATACATTTTTCATTACAAACATATCTAACAGGATAGAAAGCAGAGGTTTTCACTAACTACAATGTCATTCAATTTCATCACCTCCAAATTTAACAGAGATTTACTTAAAATACACTTTGTATCCCTCTATCCTCAACATCATAAATGGTCAATATTCGCACTGTGTGCAAAACACTGAAACAGTCAATAATACATGCACACACCCCTTTATCCTAACCCTGGGTGACCACTTGTTCAGATGACTTCCCAATATGACAAAGTAGAGCCTATCACCGATACCTCTACCTGAGTCCATTCCAAACTGATACAACTAGTTCAGCAAAGCTGAAACGACTGGATAATCAAAAGTTTTCCCTTGTTTGGCTGGTTTTGACATATAGAAAAAGTCTTAAAAGTAATTTTTGGAGCTAGGTATGGTGGCACATGCCTGTAACTCCAGCTAATCAGGAAGCTGACGCAGGAGGGTCATGAGTCCAAGGCCAGCCTGCACCACTTAGGGAGACTTTGTTTCAAAAAAATTGAGGGGCGCAGTTGGGAGTACTTCAGTGTCAGAGAAGCTTTGAGATCAATCTCAGTACTATAAAAACAAAAATGTAACTGGGAAGAGGGGAAGTCTCTATACATTCAGGCCACAATACAATTATGCATCTAAGATCGCCTAAGAGCCATGCTCACCAAACTATTCCATAAAGGAAGAAACAGTACTCTGAACAAAACCTAAAGGACTAAATTAAGAATAATTCCTAGAAAATCAAAAGAAAACACATCAGGAACAGAAGAAAATATATTTAAGTGAGAAAAAGCAATTCTTATATACCTCACAAGTATTTTGACAGTAACTCAGTCAACTTCTTAGGGAAAATGACTTCACTGTAGATATAAGTGCCTACTTTTAAAAACTCAAGATGTGCCAGAACCTATGGGGTAGTCAATTTGAACATGAGGGCATAAAATCCTTTTCCACTATAGTGTGAGGCATCTTCAAATCAGAAAGGAAGCCTGGAAATTAGAGGATCTTGATGCTTGAAAAAGAATCCAGGTTACAATGCTGAAATGGCCACCAGCTACACATGGCTACTGAACACTTGACTTGTGGAAAGTAAAACTTGGGAATTGAAATTTCTTTGCATTTATTTAAAATTTTAGTTTCCTAATCACACATATTAAGAGCTCAAAGCCACATGAGGCACCTTGTTGGAAAGCATAGATATAAAACACTGTAATTGCTACTTGAACATGAAAATTGTTAGCAGAAACCACAATTTCACTCCTAAATTTTTAAAACTGTGAAACAGGTACTATGGTAAATGCTATTGTAGTCTTAAAAGAAAAAAAGCAGATCAAATTTCTCCATCAAAATACAATCTAGTGAAAAAGAACTAAGAATGAAGGAAATGCAAAATTGATATAATAAGGTGGTAGGCAGTAGCTAATTCTAGTAAACAAAAGAATGACGGGTTTGTTTAGTATCAGATGACCAGCCTGACTGCTTAAGTGCACTGAGGCACTGGATTTTTTTTTTTTTTTCCTGGAAAAGGGGATTGAACTCAGGCCCTTGCGCTTGCCAGGGAATCGCTTATCCTACTGAGCCATCTCCCCAGCCCAGCACTGGATTCTTGAAAAGGCACAAGTTTCTGGCATCAATCAGCCCTGGGCTCATGTCACATGTATATGCCCCTAACAAGTCATTTATTCTCTACCTTTATTTTGTGAAAATGGAAATAGTATCAGCCTATTTACAACGTAAGTCTTTTATCATTTGAAATTAGGTATAAAAAGCTTCATTAATAAATGTGCTGTATTATGGTAATATCTTGGATATTGAACTCAATTCATTCCAAATTCGTTTTCAAACACTGGAAAGTTCAAGAACTGACCATACTTTCCCCATGAGAAATAATGAGAAGACAAGTAACAGGTTCTAAGACCCAAAATTACACTTATAAATTTATTTTCTAGGACTTTATCACTTTCTTTGGAACCAGTTATGATATTTTACGCAAATAAAGCACCAAACAAAGAAATAGCACAGTGACAAAAAGTTTTAGTGCACTAACACAAGCACTATATATTGTTTGGGTGAAAGCAGCCCTTAGACTGAAGCATCCCTCTTTTATGTCCCCAGTGAAACTTATTCTTGACCCATACAGATTTTTTCAAGTTAGATTTTTCATTAGACTATTGAACAAAGTTACAAACACCAAGCAGAGTTTTTTCAAATTCTTGCTGTTGAAGTAGTGGGAAGTTCGACGTTGGAGCCATTTGACAACTGTATTTGCCAGTAATTCTGAAGGTAAAGTGAGGAATCAAAAAGGCATGTAACACTTGAGATGAGCCTTGACAATCTCAAGATGATGGAAGAGATCCTACCAGATAAGATTCTGTAAATAGGCAAGCTGTACTTTTTTTTCACACCTCAGATATGTTAAAAATATCTGAATGGCACAATGGGGTACATGAAGGAGGCTCTAGGAGCTCCAGGCTCTCACCTTCCTAACTGCCCAGAGCTGAGGAGATCTCTATCTTAGTACAACTGAGTGGTCTCTGCTAGACAGCTAGAACTGGGTCTTCTGAAACAACACTAAAGTTTGGTGTCCACCAGTCTGAGGTAAGCTGAGCCTCATCAGTTCAGAGGACCTTGCCACTTTGGTTTTCTTATCTATAAAATTGGGTGACATCAGAGATAGTAGAGAACACATACAAAGTCACTTCCTACAGTATATATAAAGGGCCCAATGCATAGAATGGGTACAGAACAGCTTTGAGCTTTCTATCATGAAACTTCTCAGGATATCAGCAGGTGTAGGTGCCTGTCTTTCCTCACTAGACTAGAAACAATTTTACTATAAAAACCATGCTTCACATTGAGTGATCACCAGCCTCATCTCACCAGGACTGAATGCCTACACTGTGCATGGACAGCAAGCTAAATATCCATTTGGATTGTCCTGTTTGTTTCTCACCATGATTTGCTTATTTGGCCCTCAGATTTCCGCCATCTGCAAAGTTCCTACTTCACACAGCTTTGAGAATTTAAAATACGACATTGTATGCAAAGATATTAGCACTGCAGCTGGCATATGAAAAGATGAGCTTATATCAGCTATCATCTCCATTTTGTAGATAAAGAAACTAAGGGTCTGCCAGGCTAAGCTGCTGGGGTCAGTAAGTATCAAAGTCAGGCTTAACTTTCAAGCTGATGGCAGAGGCAACCCGCTATTGTGTCCAACACGGTGCCTTGCACAAAGCAGGCTGAGTTCAATGACTCTGTCACACCCTAAAATCAATGGCAAGTGCATAAGACTACCCAATTTACAAAGCTGATCTGAAAACTGAGTGAGTGTATAATGTACCCAAAAGTCTAAGCATAGTGACTGGCAAGGAGTAAAAGGTTTTTAACCGGTAGCTATCCTTGTCTGTTTTACAAATGAGAAAACAGAGGCCCGGAGAGATGAAGAAACACGTCCAGTATCAGTCAACAGTGGCCGAGCCAGAACTCGATCTAGGCAGTCTGACTCCTGGGCCCTCTGGCTTTTATAATAGTCTAGGACTAGTACGGGCGCCGAAAGCAGCAAAGACAATAGTAATCCCAAGTGTGAGAAGGAGCTTGAGGGGAAAAAAAAAAAAGAGTTTGAAAGTTTGGGCATCTAAACCCAGGTTCTCAGGACCTCAGACAAGCACCTTATACCGTTTAAGGGTGTGTTTCTTACTCCGAAAAAAGGGAGCGAACACTGCCTCTGATCTCGGAAGCGCGAAACCGAAATGCAAGGCTCAATGAAGAGACCACAAAGGTCTGGGGAGTGGGAGGGCTCAGGGGAGTAGGAGGGGATGTTTACCTTTGCGGAGTTCGCGGTGCCACACAGAGACGATGGGTCCTGCGTGCTTGCGATGGTGGATGAGCCACAGGGATAGAGTCTGCACGCTTTGCTGAGAGTTGCTCAGCTCTGAGAGCTTCTTCTCCAGCGCCGACTCAGAGAAGGAGGACATAGTGGCGACGGAGAGGCCCGGGAAGGAGCGGCCTGGGCCGCCCAGTGTAAAGAGAAGAACGACCGCACACGTCCCCGGGCCTCACCTGACAGACTGCGGGACTCTACCAACTGACAGATCGCTAAAAGTGCAAGGCGAGGGAAGCGATGGGTCTCTGCAGTAACAGCCGCCCGCGTCTCCGCCACAAGATGGCCACCCGACCTCTCACCCTACCGCGGGAGCGAGGTCAAAGGTTAAAAGCCGGAGATGCCGGGCACCCAGAGGCGTCGGAGCTGCAGAAAAACGTTGCTTTTGAAACCAATAGTCTCTCTGACCCTCGCTAAGCTCACTTCGAAAGTGCTAGGAAGAAGGAAAGAGCTCAGTTTGTCAGGCCCGGAAGGCGCTTTGACCGCTCCAGCCGGCACGCCGGCGCAATGGGCCTCACCGAAACCCTTTCTCCCGCTCCCGCGGAACTTTTCTGGCGCGGTGTGGCGCGCTGCTTAGAGCGTCACTTCCGGCGAGGCGCCGGAGGCGGGAGAGTGAGAAAAAAGCCGAAAGGCAGGTAAGAGAAGAGTGGCGGGAACGCGGAGCCCAGCAGCTGGGCCATTTTACAGGGGGATCCTGAGAGGACACTGAGCCTATGACATCATGACCTCGGAGTGAGAGGGAGCCTTCCTCCCTCACCGGGCCGGCGTGAGGCCACGCTTTTCCTCTAGACACCCACATCCTGCTCTTGGGCTGCACCCCCACCCCAGCTCCTTTCTGCTGCTTCCGAGACACACTTGTGCCCTTTTCACGCCTCCACCCCTTGGCTCTCCTCTCTGCAGGCATGATTCCCCTCCTGCTCGGCCTACAGGACCACCCTTTCGTACCCTATTGTGTTGTTGAATTTGTTACTGCGCAGTCACGAAACACATCTTTGCGTTCTTGACTCTTGGTTGATTCGTTCGGGGAAGAGCATCTGCTTTTGCCCTCCACAGGTGACCATTGACTTTTCTAAGAAACACTATTCGAGACTCTAAACTCCTTATCTTTTTCTTCAACAGTTTTACATTGCGGATGTTAAAAGAGCAGCGAAATTCTCTAACTGGCATGAGTCTACTGCTAGGTAGCTTTTCACAGAGAGTACATAATTCTGAAATTTCTTGATTATTGTCGAGCGACCTACTTTTAGGCCAGTCCCATCTTCTTGATGCCTGTTTTTGCTTTTACTGCTTTTGTCAGTCTTTGTTTTATGCTTTTTCCCTTTTATCCAAACTAGAATCAATCATAGCTAACACAGAGTTCTATGTGCTAGACATTTTACACGTAATAACCTCATTTAATCCTCTTAATGAAGGTTATGAAATAGATGTATTCTTTGCATTTAACAAATGAGGAAACGGATGCTCAGGTTAAATGACCCTTCCAAAATCATATAACAAGATTTGAGGAAGACATCTCAGGCAAGCCATCCTGTTCGCTCTAGCACTTACTTGATTCATAGTTGATTGAGTGAATTAAAAGAGGCTAACACAGGCCAAGCATGTAGCTCAGTGGCACAAGCACCTGCTTGGCAAGAACAATGTCCTGAGTTCAATTCCTGGTACCAAAAAAAGAAAAACAAAAAGGCTAACAGCCTAAAATCTCAGTCAATGCCTGGTCATGATTGTAAGCTAGGACTTTTAAATACATACTTAGACTGTCTTTCACTATTAAGTAACATTGTCATATACTTAGCACTTTCATGTCAAGACATGCATATTCACCACATTCCATACTTTGGGGGATATTTTTGTTTGTTTTTGAGACAGGATCTTGCTACGTAGTTTACACTGGTCTTGAATTATGTAGCCCAGGCTGGCCTTAAACTGGGCAGTCCTCCTGACTCAGGCTCCTGAGTGCTAGGATTACATTCGTGTCCCAAGCCATATTCTTTTATTTAATTCTTACCACAATCCTATGGGATGGATCATCTTATTGTTATTTGAAGATGAAAAACATGAAACATGGATAACATCCGTAATTATTCCTTATTTGTATATTTTTGTTTTATTGGTAAACTTTAGATATACATCATAACAGAGAATTTGTACCTATATGTACTTGATAAATCCTGCTTTTTTTCCCCATTCCCTTTCCCTCCAACCTTTCTTTCCCCTCTTACTTACAAAAGTTTTCTTTTTTTCCCATTCTTCTCCATTCTTTCCTTTCTCCTTCTTCCCTCTCTTGTTCCTCTCTTCATTTGAACATTTTCTTCCCATTTGCCAATATTTATTTTTACATTTTGATCCTTATTTATACATTCAGTTTCTCACATCAGAGATACAGTGAGTTCTTATGTGTGTCTGATTTCACTTAAGAGTATGGACTCAAAGTGGATTCATTTATCTAGAAATATCTCAAGCTTACGCTTTTTTATGACAAAGTAGCTCTCTATTGTATCAAAACAGAACAAGAACGCCCATCTTTTTTTATCCATTAATCGATTGATGGGCATTAGAGCAGTTCGCAAGGTTTAACTATTACAAACTGCCACTGGAAACCTGAGTAGGTATTATATTGCAATGATATGATGCTTCTAATTCTTTTGAGAAGATACCAAGAAGGGGAATAGCTGGATCAAATGGAACTTCTACTTTTAATTTTTGAGGAATTTCCACACTGAACCTACAGTGGTGGAGCCAGTGTACACTTCCACCAACAGTTGGGAAAGGTTTGTTTTTCCCTGCAGCCCTACCAGCATTGGTTATTGGTTTATTTCTCTCCCTCTCTCTCTCTCTCTCCTTCCCTCCCTTTTCCTCCCCCTCTCTTCCCCTCCCTCCCCCTCACCAGCAATTGAACTTGGGACCTTGTGCTTGCCAGGAGGGTACTTACTGTACTGAGCTACATCCCCAGAAACCTATTGCTTTATTTCTTAATAATAACCATTCTGGGCTGGTGAGATGGCTCAGTGGTCTAAAGCACCTGCTTAGAACAAGCTTAGCAAAAAAGCACAGGGACCATGGTTCAATCCCCCAGCACCACATGCCAGCCAGCCCCGCCCCCTGGTGGGCTGAGCTGGCCACACACACACACACACACA